TGATGGTGTACCACTGTTTTAGGAGGAAAGTTAGAAAGGAGTATATATATAGTAATTTAATACATAGCTGTATTCAACGGTAAACTATTATGAAAAACCATTATTATCGGAGTGATAGTCGTATTTTTTTAAAAAATACATACAAAATTGTCAGTTTTTTTTCCATTTATTGAGAAAATTACAAATAAAATCAAAAAATAACATTATGAATGAACCAACATAATCAATATTTCTACAATTAAATTCCCATGCAATTTTTGACTCGAACAAGATTTCTGATAGAAAAGTTATAGTTAGTTTACAGTCATAAACAACAAAAAAAATATCATAGTAAACCAATACATTCCTCGCTTCCCCTCTAACTTAATATTATTTTAACATACCCGAAAAGTTTTTTTTTTTTTTAAATAAAAGAAACCATTATGAAAATGAATAAATTTAAATACTAATTTTACTGACGTTTCCCATTTATAGGTTGGTGGTAGACATTTAAAAAGAAAAAACAATATTTCTTATCATAATTGTGTTACAAATAACTTTGATCACAATACTTTCCTGGTATATTACAACTCCGTATATTTACTCAAACTTAATGTACTTGTATTATAAAAAAAATGGAAATATGGAATAAAAACGAATTTAAATATTACTCAAAACAAACTTAATTAATTCTTAAAAATCTACAATGAATGTAATTAATATTGTCTGCCTATAAAATAATAATTAAGGGTAAAAAAAAGAAAACATCAAAGAATTTTATTTATTTCCATCCCCTTAATAAAGCAATATAGTATAATATTCTGAATTTAAATTACTATATAGAGTGATTCTTTCATCACATTATCATAATTATAGTTAATACTAGAATATAACCATTGTTCTCTACTTTTTTGGTGAAAATTCTAGCAAAATCCGATATAAATAGTATGCATACAAAATTGTAGTAAACAAATAATTTTTTTTTTTTGGAACCTATGTTGAAAATGTGAAGATAGTTGCTATTTTAACATCAAAAGTAAGTACCCAATAAGGGTATAAACAGTAGGGGTCAAAAAGGCATTGTAGTGTTAAAAATAATAAGCCTTCAACAATAATTTCAAATTGTAATAACGATCGAAAAAAAGTAACCTACTTCATCATAAGTACCCTACTTAAAAATGTTATCAAAGAAAATCATTGGGCCTTGATAGAAAATAAACCTATATGTTTGTTTAACTAGGTAGTGATTTATTTCTATTTTCCATTAATCTGAGTGAAAATACTGGTTCTGCACGATAAGTTATGCGTTACCTACTAATTTATTAACTATAATATGATTATATATACTAGTTTTAATTTTATGGTAAAACTAGCAAATAATAGTACTAAAGTTGAGACCAAGTTTTTGCCATGCGTTTCTATTTAGCATACTAATAATTTATATTAGTATTTATAACTGTTCTCTAAGTATTAAATACACTTAATCAATAATTTTATGTACCCGAAGTATTATAAACTTTAAATGTGTATAATTCGGAGGATATTTTAAAGAATTTTCACGACATTTAGGTGACACTGGGGAATAAAATTGAGGGTTCTGCCAACTTCCCCCAACCCTCCTCTGTTTGAATAGTACTCGAATTTGACTGTTTTCATGAACATTTGAACTTTGAACGCTTATTATTAAACAACAAATCGGGAGTTCAGATATTCGATATTTATTTAATGTCTTAAGAACATGTTTGCTATCGAGTAACACGGACAAACAATAAATAATATTAATACTATCCAAATTTAATGTACCGGAAGTATATTTATTTATTGAAGATTATCAATCTAAAAAACATCAATATTTCGATACCCTCCCCCTCCCCCGAAAAAAAAATGCGTATCGCACCATTAAATACCTTTTTTTCTTTTTATTTGGAACCGCTGCATGCTGCCACGTCTAATAACTACACTAGTAGCTAATTCTAGACTCCATACCATAAGAGACTGCATCTCCATCGCGGAATTAATTTTCTCCCTCCACCCGATCATCTTAATTTATTGTGAAATGCACGAAAATGAACACGTGTGGATCGCCACAGGGTTGCGGTCTCTCGTGGCGCGGAGTATATACGTTTTCAATAAACATTAAATTTTTTTTTTCTTTTTTAAACATATAAATAAACATTTAGCTAGAGAAAAATAAAAATATAAAAACCTATTAATAGTGATGATATCAGTAATATAACGACGATATCAAAATCAGAAAAATTAGAAAAAAATATCGATATATTTTCTTGTGTTTACGTTACTCCAGTTCGCGTCACCAATTCATGAATTTCAGTTATTTGATGCCAATATTTAGTCTGAATTTGCACGATCAGTGTCAAAATTTGTACGATATCAACTAAAAGTAACATCAAAGCAAAAAAAAAAAAACGGGAAGGGAGAAATAGTTTAAGTTTATTTGTTTGATCCAAAGTTCAAAAAACATTCAAATATATATTTAGTATTATATTATGTTTATGACGAAAATACAATTACTGTAATAATAATGATAAATAGGCTAAATCAAGATAAAATATTTCATTAAGTTTTCTTCAAAAATAATTTGAAAGTACTTCAAAAATACCATTAACAATTTCGTTTGAAGATAATATCATCAATGGATCATATTAAATAAAATTAGTTCTCGTGTTTTGAATAATTTCAAAACGGCCGAAACATGAAACCCAGATATTCAATATAAAAATGAACTAGTACTGGGAATGGAGATGGGTTGTAGGTGAAAAGTTTGGAAGGTACGATACATAGTGTTATTTAATTTATATATGTAAGTCACGATAAACCATTGCTAACGAAAAACGATTTGGATGTGATTTGTTATATGTGTTTTAAAAGGTCGTCATATTTACGATTTTCGTAAACATTTGATATTACCACTCTTAAAAAAAATTAAAAAAATGAAATACTACATTGCTCTCAATTTTTTATTTTTAAATACTAATTACAACTTATAATGAACCGTCTGTTAAATTTACAAGCAATCTGTTTGGTTAAACAATTTAGTCCACAGAGGACCTACTAAATAAAAATTACATAATAAACTCGCGAAATTAAAACGTAAAAAATAACTCAAAAATGACTCAATTACTTTTAAAATTTTACCACGTCTGAAAAAGCAAACATAAGTTTTCTATAAACATTTCAAGTCTTTACGAATATCTTTAACAAAATTACAATAAAAACGTTCTTTTTACGTTTTTTTTTCGGTTTTGCTTAGTTTTTAAAAAAATTATAGACAAATTTAAAAATAACTTTCATACTCGCCGACTGGATGAAAAATACAACAAAAAAAAGGTCTCTGGGTATTTATTTGATTAAAGACAATGTTTTGTTCGAAAAGTTGTTTATTGACAAAAAAAATTTAAACTAAAGTAAAATAAATAGATCCTTTGCTCGGCCTGGAATCTAAAATTATGAACTGATTATTTTTTTCAGAAATAATATTAATTAATTTTTTCGTATTTATATTCAGATTTGATATAATAAGATTCTCTAAAATTAATAGATTAGTTGAATTATATCATATTGTTTACTGTATATCTGTACACATTAAAACACTTAATCTTTGGGATTGAATTTTGAAAGACATGCACACACTATGTGCAATAAACTGTATACTTAATATCACATAATAATAATAATAAAGCAAGTATTAAGAATGTACTCTTTAACACTCGAATTATAAAGAACAAAATAATAATATTTTACGAGTAAAAAGAAAAAAGACGCAAAACTATGAATATATTACAGGTATACATTTTATTAGAAAATTATTCATAACATACCAAAGTCAAAGTTCTTATGGACGGTTTTTGCAATAATTACTTTAATAGATGCAGATACAAAAACTAACTAACACAAAAAATATTTCTTGTTTAGATGATTTAACCCACAAATCTACTGTATTCGGGTAAAATATCATAATTTTTTAATTTCAATTAAAAATATTAAGTAATAAATAAATAAATTCAAATGTGTTGATTTCATTTTTATACGAAAAGCATTTACCCTATGTTCATAATATTTAACTTTAGACCTTTTTATTCGAACACCGTAGATATAATAATAACAAAGTTTTACAAAAAATGTCATCAAGGGGAATACATGTTTTATAGTAATAAGCGACATTACAATTACACAAAATCAAAATCACATCTTAATTCAGAGTTATCGCGGTTTATTCACGTAGGTATCCATAATAATATTTTATTGTTTTCTTTTTAGCGAAAATTTATCCATTAGGTATTATAAAATATATGCAAGTACGAAAATTCCCTTCAAACAAAAATATTAAAAATTTTCTACAAAACAATATAAATGCAAATTAAATCGATTTTTTTAATTCTTCAATTAATGAAATGAACATTATGCTTTGAGTACATATTTTTGATTCTGAGCGGAGCAAGAAATATATTGGTTTACAATTACATTTATTTTATTTTATTTTTCTGTGAACAACTTTTCTACCAGACATTTAGTACTGACTAATTGAAATATATTAGTAGAAAATAAATACATAAGATGTTCAATAATTTTAAGTCGTGTGAATATGTATAAGTTGGTTTTTTTTCGTACCTATATGTATATTATTAACTAGATATACCTGTATAAGGTATACATGTTGTTTGATTTTCTTTGAGATTTTGTTTTAAGTATATGCATGCCTTATTTTGTAATAAATACTTAAAATTATTTTTTAGCTTAAATTAGAAGGGTCTACCAAGTTATAAACCTTATATTAGCCCCTGCTGATCTAATAATAATATATTCTTATATACATTAAGATAGTGTATATATATATAAAATCTTCTATGGAACTAGAGCTATTTTTTTTGTTTGTTTTATTAGTTGCCGACCTAATCTGCCGCAGTCTTCCGACTCTATATATTCTAGAAAATTAAATAAATACACGGTTTATTGACCGTTGCTATCCGTTTAACTTATTACCGGGCTTGATTCGTATATACCTATTATCTAATCTAGCTTATATATCCTTCTAACCCCAAGTTTACGTTGATGTTTTTTTATTAACCGCAGTGCTTGGATTGGACAAATAAAAGGACTTTGGGAAGTAAAAAGTAGCGTCCCTTGCAATAATTGACTTTAATTTAATCTGTGAGGGTTTTTACCCTTACACTAATTTTAAAAAAGTTCATAATCCTGCACTACATTTAATACAATTCATAGAATACAAAAATGTTTATACAAACAGTCATTATTAATAATTATTGATTAATAAGGTTATATAATGAGGTAGTTAGAGTTATATATTTAATCTCGGACGAGTTTTCAAACAAATTAAAATTGTAGAGGAGCTCCTCTACGGAGCGTCCCTTTGCCCCCTACCCAGTTCAATAACTGTATACAGATATCTTTATGTTTATAAATTTACAGATTACAGCCTTATCAAACCTTTTAAAAAAAAAAAAAACATTTCGTTATATCAAAAAACTCGTGATTTCACTGATTTCGAAAATCTAAGCTATTTGGTGTTTATACGGTGGTATAATTTTGAGGTAACTATAATATATAATTACAAAACACAATAATTGACCTATTATTATTATATTGTAGGAAACTTTATCATTATATAGTATAGACAGTCATTTACCCCTCACCATAGCCGTCTACTAACTTACCAACTATAATACTGTAATTATTACATATTACAATATAATATGTGTAGCTAACGTAGAAACACAAGAAACGTGACTATACACTCTATAGTATAGAGTATATAGTTAATATTTTAACTTTATCATTTAGACTCAAAATACGCATACTGCGCCCACATATTGTCCAAGGCTTTTTTTACACAGACACGAAATATGACGAACATTATTTTATTCAACAATTTTAAGCGTTTAAATATCTTTTTTTATATATATTTATATTACTATATTATTATAATAATAATAAACACTAAAAAATCATCTCTCTCTACCACAACAGTTTTACACTTATCTAATCCACATCTGACCAAGCTCTATATTGAAGATTCTGAGTAGAACGTGAAATTTATTGGTTTTACAGTGATGTTATACAATAATGTTTTACAACAGTGGCCCACGCATCGTACGACGTATGTCCGTTTGTTTTTTAAACATTAAATCAATTGTGATCGTACTCTAAAATACTTTATTGTGTATATATATACGGAGTGAAGGACTCCATATTATTTTTGAACTTTCCCGATCTATCTAGATTCAAAATGAATACCAAAGTAAAAAAAAAATCGTTTCCAAAACAAACGTAAGTACCACTCGTATACAAAATATATTATAACCTCATTTTATACAACTCTACTTTCTACTGTACATACATTGTTATTGATTACACTAAATTACCTCTCAAGCATATCAAAAATGTGGACTGCGAGTGACAGTGTGTTGTAAACATTGTAATAATATTATAAAGAGAAACGTATATAGGTATATTATATAGTCTGACGTAAAAATCAAAAAGCTGTCGGATAAAATTTACCTACACTCGTACTATAATAACAATCACTGGCGGCAATTTTGGGCGATAATTAATTTTAAATTTATAATATTACAAGGAGAGTATTTTTATCAAGTTCCTTTGATTTTTTCAGATTCTTAGGGGAGCGAAAAAGCTCATGGTTTTTATAAAGATGTCTGTTTTTTTTTTTTATTTTTTTTTCTACATGAACACTTCTTCTACCAAAAAGCTTACTTCGATGTATACGATATACATTCTTTTCTGAAAGGAAATTTTCTTGTGATGATACTGTAAGAACGTAATTTTTCGATTTTCTTAAGAGTTTTCTCATTAAATACGAAAAACAGAAAAAAAAACGGGAAAATGTACGAAATATATTTTTATAATATTATAGTTTATTTTTTCTGTGGACAACATTTCCACCAGCAATTTTTAATGTTAGCGATATTTCTAAAAGGAAATCCGAGTGAGAAAGTACTCTTTCAAAAGGTTATTTTTCGATTTTCTCAAACTTTTCGCAGCAAATGTGAAAAACCGGGAAAATCGGTAAAACATTAAACAAATAATATTAAAGAAACTATAAAATGTATTTTTAATTATTTTACTATAAAATATGGCATATAATATTGTTGATAAAGCATCACTATCAACTGAACTCCGTTCAGAATCGTTTTTTCGTAAGCAATGGTTTATCGTTGCTTACAGGTATAAATTAACTTACCTGTAACAGTGGCTACACCCGTCTTCATTATCCTAGGATGTCTTTTTTTTGTTTATTAGCTGTACGACTCAGTACGAGAAATAGATATTTTAATGTTTACGGCATCACGTTTAGATTTTGAATTAATTAATTAATTTTAAATTTACTTTTGTCTTTTAATCCTAAATTTTAATTATATTTGCCACGTCGTCAACGGCTTGAATAGCTTCAACAAGATCTATATTCGGTGTCTGAAGAAACTTACTTTATGGTAAACTCATACACGTTTCCCAGTATCTAAGCTACTATAAATTTTCTGATTGTATTATAGCACACAGCATTGGTATGCTCCTGATGAAGCATTATTATCACACCCAGTAAACATTTCTCATAAACTATTAATTATTGCATTAAAATCTGAAACTAATTATTAAATCGTAATATCGGTCTATACCCATCTTTTTAGATTTTGAATCTAGCGGAGAAGTTAATACTTTTACTGAGATATGATTTTCATCGGAAAACATTTTTCCGGTTAGCATAAAAATGTTCAGATTTGTTTACGCAATTCCTTAAAAGATGCGAGATGTTCGACTAGTACTTTACTCGAAACAATATTTCGAAATTTGAAAACATCAAAATTTCTTAACTAGAACAGTGGCCTATCCCCCGAAGTATGTACAGTATATTTTATTATACATTTCACCGTGTGGCTGCGGATGTCCAATATATTGGAAACAACGTAACTCTACTAAAATTATCGAGTGTAAATGGAACATTTTTATAATGTAAGCCAATAACGCACCTCCTCGTGTGTAGATAGTTAATAAATTAACCGAAGAAACGCATTCATGGATTATGTTTTCCCCTACGAGTACATTCGACGAAGAAATATTGAATAACGTAGTTCGGAAATCCTTAAATTTGTTAATGGAGTAAAAACAAGATAATACGACAGTACGAGTATGCCTATTAGTGCGCTTTTGGAAGGTCGTGAGTTACCTAATATGTTTCCTCTCGATTACCACGTTAATATACCGTGAACAAATTATACGCATATACATTATAATGATGCCGTCGTGATATTGTCATAGTATGAGAGTTCTGTACGAGAAATGCTATAAATAAGACCGAAACAAAAAAAATTTATTTCAGGTACTAGGTAGACAGGTAGTAAATATAGGTACTGTAATATACTTGTAACCTTATAAGTAGGTAAGATGATAAATAAAAACTGTGGACAACATATTATCTGTGATTCAAAGCCAAAACCTAATATGTATAAAATATTCGATTTTTAGATTATGTATAATATATTACGTTGTTGAAGTTCTAAATTTTATTGTGTACATACAAGATTATAAATCTACAAAATCGAATAACTAATAAATTCGGTCGTATAATATACACTTATCATAATATTCCAGGTGGCGCATTGATTCATTTATTTATTTTATTTTTATACATACATTTTTTTATTTATATATTTATTTATTTTATGTATTATAGTTGTCCACGGAAACATTTCGATGATATTAGTTGGTATAATATTATGAAAAAAATGTAAGTTTTCCAACTAGATAATATAAAAAGGTTTGTTTGCGATATATATTGAAAAGTGATAGTAAACAAAAACGGCTGAGCGTTTATATGTTATAGAATTAAAAATGCTAATAATATTTATTATTCAATTAATTATTAATTTTACTGCTAACTAATAAAAGAACGTGATACCCGTATATGCTGTCTTTTCAGTCTTCCAAATGTAAGATATAGCAAATTTGCAATCAACAAGAACAAATGTGTGCTGTTAGTTTTGATATTATATATTTTTGTATCTGTGCATTATTGGCGCTATTTTTTAAATATTTTAATTTCAAGCAAGATATAAGCGTTATTAAATTGTGATATATCACATATTCGTATCTCTCTTAAAAATTAAAATATCAAAAAATAGAAATAGCGATATAGCAAAATACAAATATAGTGCTTACGTCTTTAAGTTTGTCAATACACTCTAATAATACAACTAACAGCACAATATTCTTCATACTGAACAAAAATTTACTATGCTGTACGTTTATAAGACAGAGACAACACCAGCGGGTATTACTAGAATAAGTCCTATTGGTCGTTTTTTTGGTGTATTTTTTTTTCAATCGATGGATAATATATTTGTTAATTTATGGTGTGTATGTGATTTATTTTTACATTGCATTGATTAAGTAGAAATATTTGTAAATGTAATTCAGGAAATTAACGTTAACGAACGTGTAATTTAGGGTTTTTTTTAGACTAATAAATATCAACACCCGAATTAATAATTTCTGGTAAACAATTTTATTTTGTTTGGTTAATAAAAGGAGTTTATTTTTTAATTTGCCATGTAGTTTTATTCACAGAAAGGAACAACTTTGGAAACCGGTAGATTGTACGCAATAACAGTTTCAGTTGGTTGTTATATTATTGTTATTCATTGAGAAATAATCGTAAAGACATCTGACATTTTCATCAAATACCTATACTAATATTTTCAATTAATAAAGTTTGTACGAATGTTATATTCACAAAAGATTTATCTATAATAGTTTTTAAATGGCCAACGATAAACAAAAAAAAAAAAATAAAATAAACTATTTAAATGTTTTGTTTAACGTTATCGAGGTAATTTTTATTTAAAGCGTATACAGTTCGACGACACGGTGTGAAATATCGAACTTTAAGTACCTATCCATTTAGTGAGATTCAGAGATGAATAAACTTACTGAAAAGTGTTCAAATACTTTATAGTATTATTGGTATGGGCAGTACTTGGCACACGTACTACTGTAATAAAATATTTACGAAATACGAATAGAGCCGGAAACGCGTTAATCTTGATTATAAATTTAAAAAATAATTAAATCGATACAAACCTACTATTTTATCGTATTTACCGTGGTTGTGTTTCGCATTTATTAGACATTTTTATTGAACTATCCATCAAATCTGCAGACTCCCAATATTTCAAGCGTAAACCTAT